ACCACCACACCCGCCGCCGCCCGCCACCACCACCATATAAATAAAATATAAGTAATATAAGTAAAAACATTATAGTTTCAACTTACTTATGAATTTATTAAGAAATGACTTTTTTTTGATTTATCTTATCCGAATCGTTTTCTAATTTCTTTCTCAATTTTATTTTCATGTCTTTATTCTCATGTTTTATAATTAATTATTTTCGTGACTTTTTTCGTCATGAATCGTCATGAAAAGGTTGCAAGAGATCATTAGACTGATGCTCTATTTCCGGTGGTCAGTCAAAGTTCCGCGCTCTGATCGATTGATATCTTTGATCGATTGATATTTGATCAGAGATAAGTCCTATATGTTGAATGTCGTCTTCGATAATTTGACTTCAGTGCTATTAGAATGATTTTTAGTTCCCTCCTGTATGTCGTTAGGACTATGTCTCGGTAATTCGGTTTCAGTGGTCCTGAAAGAATTTCTAGTTCTTTCTTGTGGACACTATGCATTCGACACTACTAGGCTGCTGTCGCAACTCTCTGCTGACTAAAGTTGCATAACTTATTGAAATCAATTTCTCGTTGCAGGATTTGAGTAACACAGGGCGAGTTTGCGTTGGATAACGTCTCTCGGAACGTTTTCGATGCGGAATTTGCCGTAAAAACATTTTTCGTGACGAAAATCAACAATTTTGATACAAATTGAGTTTTCATGGAAGAATTTAGTCATATCAATTCGAGTTTATTTTAGATATCCTCTCTCTGATCAGTTTCGATTCCCAATTTGCCGTAATTTAACGATCAGCGATTTTTGTGTCGAAAAGTTATAATTTTTATCAAAATCGCTAGTTTTCGTGTCAGAATTTTATTTAACTCAAATATCAACTTGTTGCGTCTCTTTTTTCCATTATAATACGCCACTTTTTATTAGATGCATTTTTCAAAATCGATTTTTCTTTTTTCAATTTTACGAAACGCGATTTTTAAAGATTTTTTGATAAAGTCGCATTTTCAACGATTGCAAAGTATTGTCTGATCATAGTAACAAATTTCATAATGAAAAATTATGTCAAAATAGGATTTTTACTTAATGATTTTGTAATTTCTTTGTGAATTTATGATTTCTTTGATTAATTTCGTATGAAATTTGGTTCTCGCCACGAACAGATTATCAAGTGTATTTTTACAAATTTAGACAAAATTTATTATTCACTATATAATTCTACTATTGTTGAAGATTAAGTGGTTTGTTATGTTTATAGAATTTCTTATCCTATAGATTACGAGACTCTTCTTTTTTTTTTTTTTTTTTTGACGTTTTAAATTGTCATAGATTCATCAGCAAAAATTGAATGGGATGATTAATTTTTCTGGCTTGGAATCACCATAAAAAGTCGCATGTATTTCTACTTTCGTCAGAAATATAGCAATTTCATGATTACACAATTCTGAAGGTTCTAAAATTTTAATAAATATATTCAATCATAGCGATTAAACTGCTTTTTGAAAAATTAACCAGCGGATATTGAATGTAAAGTGCAATCTTTCCAGCTTGCAATAAGTATCAAAAAATCGTTTCTATCCCTTTTTTTTAACGAAGATATAGTCATTTCGAAAATAAATATAAATGGTTTATAATAAATTATTATTAAAAAATTAAATTTTATAGAATTAAATGTATAAATATTTTATTCAAAAATAACAATTTTATTTAAATATAAAAAATACAATCTTAATAATATAATAAATAATCTAAATTTAAATAACAAAATTTCACAAATTAATATTTTTATGATAATTTAAAATAAATTTATATTTATATCATTCATTTGACAAATCAGTATTTAAACTATTTAAATAAACATTAAATAAAATATAATTTTAAAAACATTAAATTTAATGGAATTCAATATATTATTGAAATAAAATATTCAATCATTGAACCACTATTGATTTTAAATTTTATATAATTTATTATATTAAATCTTTCCATGATTAATAAATATAAATAAATAAATTGAATAAATAAATCTAAATAAACAATATATCATTAAAATAAGTATTACAAATTTTAATCATAATACTAAACCAATTACCATAATTTTACTTACTAAATTTAATGAAACATGTGATCCTATATTAGATCAACATATTATAAATCAAAATAAAGATATTGTAGGTATAAAATTAATTATATCTTTATTAACAAATATTAAATATACACTTTTATATTTGTTTAATTTGTTTATAAATTACATTTAATAAAAAAAAATAATCCTGAAGATCTAAAACCATGAGAAATTATTAATTAAATAACCACTATAAATAACCATTTATTCTTATTTAAAAAAAAGTTGATATTCTTATAATTATTAATCCTATATGTACAATTGATGAAATTGCAATAATAGATTTTATATCATACTGAGATAAACATATCTTAATCTTAAAATTAAAATTTCAAATGAATTAATTACAATTAAAATATTTTGTATAAAAATAAATTTATTCTTTAAAAAATTATTATTAATCGTAATATTCCATACCCTCCTAATTTCAATATAATTGAAGGTAAAGTTATTGATACATAATAAAGTGCTTTAACATGAGCATTTAATAAACAACCATGAAATAAATAAATTGGAATTTTAATTAAAAATGATATCAATAAATACATAAATAATATTAAATTTAAATTTAGATTTAAATTTAATATTTCAATTAATATAAAATTTAATCTACAATTATTTCAATTAATGTAATAAATAATATATAATATAGATAATGAAAAAATTATTATAGAAACTATTAAATAAAGTCCTGATAATCAACGATTTTCACTGTATTTTCATTTAACAACAAAATAAAAAATCAATAATAAAACTAACTCGTAAAATAAATAAAATACCAATAAATTTATTGATATAAAAACTAATAATAATGGAATTATTAATAATAAATTTATAAACAAACAATTTATTCTATTATTATTTAATGATAGAGAAATTAATCCAAAAACTCATAAAGTTAATATTATCAACACGTAAGAAAAATTATTGAAACTAAAATTACAAAAAATAAAAATTCGTTCAATTCAATTAAAATTAAATAAATTTATTAATAATATGATTATAATTAAATTTAAATTATTTATATTTTTAATAAATAATACAAATAAATATAGAAATATTAATAAAATCATAATAATCCTAAATTAATAAATATTAATTATAGTTAATATTCTTAACTTTTGATGATCTAATTCATAATTTATTCTTACTAATATTGATAAATCCAAAACTAATTCAATAAACAGAAAAGATTAAAAAAATTAAAAGTAATCATGTATTAATTTCATGTATTAATTACCAATAATATAAAATAAAACTGTAATAACCAAAAATTGTTGTTAAAATTAAAAATCTTAGAAAATTTACATTGTAGTATAATGTAAATATAAAAAATAATAAAATTATGAAAAATATTAATTTAATAAATTTTAATTATTATTTAGCTAAATAGTTTAATTTAAAACATTAATTTTGTAAATTAAAAATATAATTTTGTAAATTAAAATAATATTTCAGCTAAGTTTATTTAAAATTTCAAAAAAATTTAAATTATTATACATCGATAATTCCCAAAATTATCATTTTTAATTAAACTATTTTTTGAAAAATAAATATTTATTATGTATATATAATTAAAATTATAATTTATAATAAATTGATTATAACAATAATTTTCATTTTATCTAAAATTTTATTATCAACCATAATTTCAATAATCTCAAGAATTTATTTAAATAACATTTATAATAATCCATCAATTTTATTAATTAATTTAATTGTATATTCAATTTATATTTCTACTATATTATTTTTCATCTGTCCAATAAGTTCATTATTAATTAATCATTAATTGTTTTTTAATCACAATTATTAATTATAATAACATTAATTGTTTTATTAAGAGGAAGAAATATTAGCAATACCTTCATATTTTATTTCTTTAATAAACGAAATTTTTAAATTTAAAATTAAATTAATTTTATAAATTTCATTTTTAATAACACGTAAGAAAATTTTATCATTTAAATAATCAAAAAAAAAAAATAATAAATAATAAAATATATTTTAATCTAATTAAAAATATTGCTTTAACCTATTTATATACAAAAATAAATACTACATTATTTATTACAATAATTTTTATATTATATATTTTTACCTTATTATTAATAACAAAAATTAGATTGAAAAAAAACTCTTTGAAAAAAAAAATAATTTAATATTTAAATTAATATATATGAAGGAATATAATATAAATGTGTGTGTGTGTGTGTGTGTGTGTGT